TGAACAATAAGTGGCCTAGCGTCCAACCCAGGTCAATTACGGGTCCGGTTTGAAAAAAACAGAGGAGAAAAGTAAAAGAAAACATGTTGATAAGATTTAACTTTATTCTACACAACAAAAAGAGTCAACCTCGTGTATGTTTTGGAAAACAGAGGTCAAAACAGGAACAATCCCCATCTGTTTGGTAAAATGTGTAATCCCCATAAGGCTCTTTAGCTGCTGAAGGGAAACAATAATTGCTGCACCCGCCATAAATCCTATCAGCGTTGCTTTCGAAAGAAAGTCGATGATAAATCCGAGCCTGCAACAAATGAATCAACCAAAACAGCAAGTACTTCAATATGATATGATGTTGCTACTAATTAATGGGAAATACTACGGTACCGTTACGGTGTCATCCTTTCGGGTGTTTTAACTGTTGGATTATCTGTCTTATCTAACTACATGTGGATCCAACGGCTAAAATATTCGATGGGATGGTACCGTAACAGGACCGTAGCATCAGAAGTTAATGAAATATAACCTTAGGAAGCCCAAAGAAGATTGAAAAAGGCCTGCAAAGAAAGTTGAGGTGAAAGCCAGCTGAAGGAACAGAATGGGGTCTTTAGTTGGTGAAACTTGATGTCTCAACATTGATCCCATTATCAGGGATGCAATTGAAACTGGACCGACTGCAAGATCCCTTGAGCTCCCAAGCACAGCATATATCAATGGAGGCACAAAACTTGAATCTGAAAATTTTTCAACAAATCATAATAGTTAAGCAGATGATGATGTTATGCTAATAAGAAAAGTCAAAATGTTCATGCAAGCAAAAGGGATAGAGAGAGAGAGAGTTACATACATAGACCAAGAATTGGTGGCAAATTAGCGAGCTTTGCGTAACTTATGCCCTGAGGTATGGCGAGGCTTGCAATGGTGAGACCAGCGACGACATCGGATTTGAGGAGGCTGAGGCTGTATTTAGGGCCCCACTCGAGTATCGGGAATACGTAGTGAAAACCGAGGAGCAGTCTCACTTTCCAAGACTGCCCCTTAAACTGTCGGAGGGGATCGTCCGGGAAAAACGTCTCCTTCAGTCGGGTTTTAAGCTTCCGGACAGTGCTCCTGTGTGGCGGCGCCTCCACCGCATGGCGGCCGGTGCTTGCTTCCATCTCCATTATCTAGTTGGCTGCCGCGCGCTGAGTGTTTTTTTTTT